GTCGTTGAAGTCTGTCGTGACACGTAGACCAATCTATATATATAAAAATGAATTGCTGTTCGTCAGTCTCGCTAAAACTCGAGAACGGCTGGACCGGTTTGGCTAATTTTGGTCTTGAATTATTTGTGAAAGTCCAAAAAAGGTTCAAAAGGTAGATAAATATGAAAATGCTTGGAATTACATAAAAATAACAATTTCGTTTTTCCTTTAATGTGTCCTCCGTCCTTCCTTTTGTTTGTTTTAAGTTTATTTTATACAAAAGTTTAGGTCTTTTATTTATCAATTAAGTCACTACTAAGTCTGCCGGGTCAGCTAGTCGTGAATAAAATCGTTTGATTTGCATTGCACTAACTCGTGTTACTTTTTTTTTTTAATTTCCTATCGACTTCAAGAGATTATCGATTAGTTTGATATTGTATGAAAATATCGTAGTGATATTTAATTTTTCTTCTACAACTATAAAATAACAACAATTAAATTTATGAATGTTTTTTTAGCGCACGCTATCTCCTCAATGGTTGAACAAGTTTAATTGTCATTTTCGTTAATTAGATAAACTTGAATTAACTTTTGATTTTGTATCAATTAAGATATAAGTTTTAAAGAGCATAGTTTGTATTAAAAGTGGTGCAAAAGTCAGATGAATAAGTGTCTATTTTTATAAAACAAATAGGATATGTAGCATCCATTAATAAGTTCATAATTCATAACGTCAAACAAACGCGACTTCCGCACAAAAAACTACGCATTATTGTGGAATCTAAATATTTCTTAGTATAGTAGGATAGTCAGTATAATATATACACATATTCAATGAAATAAAGTATTTTTAATTTATACATTAAACCAACGAATTTTGTTGCTAACACATAAATTTATGTGAATCAAAGAAAAGGAAATCTAAAAAAAAAAAACTAACAAAAAATACTAAACAATTTGCTAAAATCGTGCCAACGTGCCGTACACGTGTTCTATACAGTGCGAGTTTTTTAACGTTCTCGATAGCCTAAAAGTTAACTCAAATTTGTATGGAGTTGGAATGTTTGCCTACGTCTGCCGCTAGGGGCGCTGAGCTTCGAAAGTAATGAGTAAATAAATAACTGAATATTATAAGATTAATGTTATATGTATCAATGTACACCTGTTACTATTTAATAGACAGAAGTATTGCGTTTTTCTTTAAAACGCAATAATACTGGTGGTGTGTGGTGTGGCCAGTGTGCTTAGAGTGAGTTTTTTAACTTCTCGATCGCGTAAAAGTTAACTCAAATTTGTATGGACTTGGAACAGCGCCCCTAGCATCAACGCTAACTTTTACGCTATCGAAAGGTTTAAAAGCTCGCACTAAGCACACAGGCAGCGTTGTGTAGAGCGGCTGCCAATACTACGGAGAGAAAGGGCGAGACTTGTAGTTTCTTATTTGAAATTGGTAACACAGTTACAGAAATACTTGTTTTCTTAGGAAAATTACTCAACTGGGAAAAGCTAACGTATATCTGTATGTTAATACACACTAAAGCATACGCTTTGTATTCCTTTTTACGAAAATTGCGCTTAAATCAATAAATAAAAACATACATACACTACCATGTATTTGACATACACACGCATATATATTTATTCTTATAGTCTGGTCAAATTGACAATAGATTAATATTGTTTGCCCTTAACATTATTTGTCTATAGTGTAGCTTTGGCAAATCTGTGGTTATATTATTATGTAGTCTTTGATAATAGAACCATATTAAAATAATGTTCAAACTTATAATTTCAATTAATTATAGTCGAATTTCGACTTTTTTTGTATTGCTTAGATGAGTGGACGAGCTCACAGCCCCCCTGGTGTTTAGTGGTTACTGAAGCCCATAGACATCTACAACGTAAATGCTGCCACCTACCTTAAGCTATGAGTTCTAAGGTCTCAGTATAGTTAAGACGGCTACCCCACTCTTTAAACCGAAACGCATTACTGCTTCACAGAAATAATAAACAAGACCCCGGTCACCGTCCTCGTCGAAACCGTCGCTTGCGACGAAGGGCTCGACGAGCGAATTAACCCATAGACACAGCCCACTGAGTTTATCGCCAGATCTTCTCAGTGGGTCGCGTTTCCGATCCCGTGGTAGAATCTACGAAGCACTGCTCTTGCTAGGGTCAGCGTTAGCAACACTCCGGTTTGAGCCCCGTGAGCTCACCTACACACGTTAGGGCGAAGCTGAAATAGCCTCTCAAGACTATCAGCATAGGTAGGAAAAATAAAAATAAAACAAGAAATTGGACGGACAAACCTGTGCTGATTAACAATATTTTCCTAATTTTTTTTATTCTTTAAAAGTATCACTATTTGACCTACCTGCTTAAGCTTTATTGATATATAATTTGTATTATTTATAAAGTTATTGGAAGCCTATAAGATAAAGTAAAAAAAAAAAAGTTTTTTTATTAATTCAATTTAGAACAGAAATATTTATTTTTTATAAAAAACACGAGGAATGTTTGATAACACAGCAAGGTCTAACTCATGGCCGACTCTCAAATGTCTCGACCAGCGTCTAAACAAAGGCACCGTACTTTGTACCCTGTTATCAGCAGTCGAAGGTTGCCGTTATCATAATTATTACCCACCACAAGGGCTTTTTAGACATCTCAATTGGTTGAATCACAAAGAAAACTAGGGGTAAAGTTGTTTTTTGGTCAAAATGGCTCCAACTAAATTAAGTCAGAATGAGGCATATATTTTTTTTATAGTTATAAAGTCAGATACAGCAATACTGGATATTAACATAAATACTGCTAAGGTTTAAAAAAAATCTTTAAATTTATTTAAACTTTATGAAGCGGTAAAAGAACTAAAAAGCTCAAAAACAGTACATGCTAATTAATACAATAAACTTAAATTGTTCTATTGTGAGGCAGGCCACGCAAGAGGTCGTTGTGGCCTAAAAGACAAGACCCCTAATGCATTCATATCGAGCGATGCTACTGTGGAGGTGTTCGAATCACGCAGGCATCAATTTTTCTATTAAAATACGTAATTAATAAATCTTCACAAATGATTTCCATAATGAAGGAATAACATCGTGTAAATCAAATACGCAAAAATAATTATATGCGTAATTACTGGAAGTCTTGTGAGTCCGCAAGAGTAGTTACCAACCCCCTTTTTATTTCTACCGTGATGCAGTAATGCATTTTGGTTTGAAAAAGGACGGTTAAAATGATATTTGATAAGACAATGTCGTGCCTGTATCATTTACTGTAATGTAATTAATTAATACAATAAATTATTAAAATAAATATAAAATTGTTTGTGCAATTTGTTTTAATTCATTCAACATTTTTCGAGAACAAATAATTTGTTTTGGGCACACAGTAAAAGTTATTACAATCAAAAACAATTTAGTTCTTGTTTAGAAATAATACCCTTTTTTTGATGGCTTGTTGTCTTAGAGTATGTATGATACCATTTTGGAATCACAGATAGTTGGATAAATAAATAAAAAAAACTTTCATATGTGTATCTGTAAGTTTAGATCTATACTTTTTTTCAAAGCAAAAGGTCTTCAAAAATTTTAAGAAAAAAATAATTTTCATTGTTTTTTTATTAAAGTACAGGCATTCTGGAATTTTGGGGAATGGTTGTGGTGGATAGCAGTGCTACTTAAATCAACGAATACATATCATAATGTGAAAAATAAGTAAGGTTTTGGAACATGATTTACAGACAATTCCCTGTTGTATTGTAGAATATAATTTGCTACTTATTTGTAATATTCTTGAAATTATTTCTAATAAATGAACATTTGTTACAGAAGAAACTAATGAAATTGCATATTGTATCAGAAATCTAAAAACTATTTATGACTGTCTGAGAGTATACTGAAATTGAACTTTTATTTGTTGAGACAGTTAAAATCTCACTTACATTACTACTACTAAACCTATGTTTACAACAGCAGAGTTGGTTGAAGAAGTGGTGCATTTTGTGCAAACTCAAAATCGATTAATTTTTTAAATTTTATATTTTTTCATCATTAGTGAATACACATTCTGTCTAAAATAAATGAGATATTTTTGCATTTGTTTTTGATTTCTTTGCTATTACAGTTTTTCCAGCACTTTACTGTTAATGTCAGAGGAAATTTTAAGGAATACTAATTGGTTTATTAAATGGAATTTGAAAATCCCACTTCTGTTGCAGAGCTTTTATGCATTCAAGATTAATTTGAGAGAAGAAAAATTTCGCAATTAAATCTTTAAGCTCATTGTGGGTGAGAAGGCATGATGGAGGTATTCTCAATCTGGTACCTATAGGCTTTGATAATCATTTAGACAGGATAAGCAAAAAAACTCAGCAGCCTAACAATGAAAAATATTTAAAACTAAATGTTCAAGTTTCATAGAATAATATTCAATTCTTTTAATGTATAACTCTAAGTTTTATTTATCGATATTATTAGATAGATATTATGTAGGTCAACGTATCTTTATTATTTTAAGCAATAATTTACGGAAAATTTAATTAAAAAATATGAATGAATTTACCTAAAACAGGTTTAACATGTGGTACGATACGAAAGTAGAAATCGTTTTTAATTAAACGAACGCAGTGAGCAGTAATCAATTTGATATAATTTTAACAGGAATGTGAAGTAATAATTCGTTAACAATTTAAAAAACGCGTGAAACATATATAAGATGTTTTAACGTAAACATTTAGATGCAGTGGTGTTTTTTTTTAAATTCCAATCAATTTTTGTAGGGTAGAAACTTCGTCAAATTCGTAGTTCTAGGTTATTGACTTTTGGATGAACACGTTTATTTACCTTACAAAAATGTTTAGTATAAAAGAAAAAATACTTACGTTCGATGCCAGCGGTTCTTCAAAATAAATTAACACTTGTAAATGTAACACGAAATATTAAATAATCTTATTTAAATACAAAAAATCACCAACGTCATACACACTACCCGGCCCGGACACGACTAGAGTTCTCAAAATGCAGGTAACTTGACAGCTGTTTCAACGAAATATCGATTTGAGAATTTCAGTCCATCATTGTAAGTTTTGATAAATAAAAGTGATTATTTTTATGTACAAACCTTACAGTTTATTTTTATATCTTTTATTAAAGTTGCTGATTATATTTCTGTAATATTTAAAACTCATATTTAACTTTCAGGATTCCGATCTCATAGAGTTCGATTTATTTTGTGTCACTCTTGTGGCTCATCTCTAAACGTGTTGAATGTGGCGTATTTTTGTTTGTGGGCGGAGAAAGGCATGATATCAACCAATCAGGGTCTAGAAACTGGCATGGAAAAGGTGGCGTGATCGCTACGTCATAGACATGTACACCTATAGCTATAGCATACGCTATAATTCGCAACCGCTTTGATCAATAACTTAAAATTATGAATGAAAATCGTCCAGAATCATAGTTTTAGTTAAAAGGGCTTAGATTTTATAGAGTCCTCTTAATTAAATTAATGTGCGAAATGTACACTCACTGTCAGTATTTCCGAGCAATAATGTAATTACGAGTATGGTGCACTATCAATTTTTAACGAACTTTGGCATTGTTGTTTGAAATTGAATTTATCAGCGACATCTCTCGCTTGTATCGAGAAACGTAAACGGATTGCTGTTCAATTCTTTGTAAGAAACCACTAATATAATTATTAGTTATGTTTGAACTAAATCGTAAATCGTCCCGTATATCCACAAGACAACGTTTTTTTAGATGAACCTTCGTACCGCAGATTATTCATAAAATATTGGAACTCACTAAAAGCTCACAAATTCAATCCTAGATGGCGCTGTTTATCAAACACCTCGTTCAGACACTAAAAATAAATTGAAATGTTTTAATTGAATCTCAATAGTTTTTTAGTTTTACCAATTAGGTAAAACTATGGAGGATAGAGGTAAGGAGAACCGTCTCATACGGGAGAAGCTTGAAAAACTGTCCCACTTTCAGCACTAAATAACAGTTCAAAAATTCACCATAGGCACAGGGTATGAAGGTGATATGAATCTTCGCTAGAAGTAATAGTGTTCTGTGATATGAATTGAGCAGTTGTTAACTGATTGAAGTATGCTGAGTTAGGAAATTCATTATTTTTAATGACTAGAGTAGTTAGTGACAGTGTAATATACAAGACCAACGTACGTTACGTAGTCCAAACTAATTTCGTCAATATAACCTAAAATTATTGCTGACATCGATTGCATTTTCTTATCACCTTTAAATAAAATATAATAATTTTTGTGATTTTGTAGTGCTTACAGTTCTTTCGTCCTTTTTTATATCTAATAACTTTCAGCGCCTTTTTAAAATTTACCCGGTTGCTACTGTAGCGCCACTCTTATTTAACAGATCTTAACGGACACTTTTTCACACACAGAGACGGTTCTCCTTACCTTTACCCTCCATAGGTAAAACAATATTATAAATAGCTCACAGCTCCATGAATAAGACGTTTTATTGTTAGAGCAAGCACATTACTTCTCAGAGATTTTCATGACGTATGCAAGCGTAGTATTCGCTCACGCGGCCTGCACCAACTTGAAGCCCCTTCAGGTCATTCAATCCCGATTCTGCAGGATAGCCAGGGTTCCTAAGGAACGTGGATCTCCACGATGACCTGGAGCTCGACTCTGTCAGTAAGTATCTACAGTCGGCATCGATGCGCCACTTCGACAAAGCGGCACGACACGAGAACCCTCTCATCTTGGCCGCTGGAAACTACATACCCGATGGTAAACAGTCGACAACGCCTAAGCACGTGATTACGGATCCTCCCGATCCATTAACGGTACTTTTAGGCACCACAAGCACCGTTCACCGTCCTCGTCGAACCCGTCGCTTGCGACGAAGGGCTCGACGAGCGATTTAACCCATAGACACAGCCCACTCAGTTTCTCGCCGGATCTTCTCAATGGGTCTCTATTCTGATTCGGTGGTAGATTCTGCGAAGCACTGCTCTTGCTAGGGCTAGTTTTAGCAAGTCCTGTCAGGTTGAGCCTCGTTAGCTCACCTTTTTTATGTTTGAGAGATTACTGGTGGCCCGGAGGCCTTTCCAGTTTTACCAAGGTAGGTGGGCGAGCAAGGGCTCAGCCAGGACGGGTGGGATTTACTAACAGCTACCTGAGCGCCTCCATAGGAGACTTAACAACTCAAGAGTAGCTGCTTCGCGAACGAATCTACTACCGGATCGGAATCGCGACCCGCTGAGAAGATCCGGCGAGAAACCCAGCGGGCTGATGTTTACGTTAGGTTGCACGTCGAATTCTTAGCCGAGTTCGACGAATACGGTTACCGGGGTCCCTACTCCTAGTGTAAGAGCTAAAGGTGTCAGCCCACCTATCGAACCGTGCACAAGTTGGAGTTGTTCCTTAAGCTACTAATAATTAGGTAGGAAAAAAAACGAGTAGTATGGGAATGGGAAGAAGGTTTCAATTCACAAAATCTATTTCCATACAGCATGCCATTTAATGATTTTAATCTTCTGTCATGTGTCACAATTAGATTTGTTTACTTGAGATGAAATCGTAATCATTACGATTTATTATTATTTGTTTTTTTTTTCCTATTATCTGATACGGGGCCAACTTGGAAATTAATAAACAAAATTATGTTCAAAAATTATAAATTATTAACCGATGTGGTATCTTTAATCGTTTATTGTCCTCCGGAAAAGTCTTTTCTAGTAACGAGAGAAGCCAGTGGAGAGTTGTGGATCCCATCCAGTACTTGTGAAAAAAAATGTTGGAAGTTGGCAGCTCATAAGATTAACTTCGATGTACGTAAATGAAAATAATTAATTTACACAGCCACTGTAACTGTCTTTCGTATAAAACAAAGTCGCTTTCTCTGTCCCTATGTATGCTTAAATCTTTAAAACTAGTCAACGGATTTTGATGCGGTTTTTTTTAATAGATAGAGTGATTGAAGAGGAAGGTTTATATGCATAATAACATCCATTAAATAGTGGAGAAATCAATAATAAAATACATTTTCCGAAGCGAAGCGAGGGCGGGTCGCTAGTTTTGAATAATTTTGGGTTACGTTAAACTCGTTATTATGATAAAAGCTTATGTAAACTATTAAATAAAGGATTCGTAACTTAAGCGGTCCGAGATCCAATTTGTTCGTATACCACTTAAACTAATCCATGGTTTCTGGGTTGGGATGGAACAAAGATAAATTTTCCATTTCAAAGTTTTTTTTATTGCTTAGAAAGGTGGACGAGTTCACGGCCCATCGGATATTAAGTGGTTACCGGAGCCCATAGACATCTACAACGTAAATGCCGCCACCCACCTTGAGATATAAGTTCTTAGGTCTCAATTTTTACAGTACAACGGTATAGTCTTACAACGGCTGCCCCGCCCTTCAAACCGAAACGCATTACTGCTTCACAGCAGCAATAGGCAGGGCGGTGGTACCTACCGGTACAGACTCACAAGACGTCCTACCACCAGTAACTAAATACGAACCATGCACACGTTATGATGAAATAATGCTATCGCGTAATAAAATGAAATCTTACCGCATTAGGTAGGCCATTAGGTAGACTCAATTTAAGCCCCACTATTTATTTTTAATCGACTTCAAAAAAGGAGGAGTTTTTCAATTCGACTGAATTTTTTTTTATGTTTGTTACCTCATAAGTTTTGACTGGGTGAATCGATTTTGATGATTCTTTTTTTTATTAGAAAGCTGACGCTTCCCGTGTGGTCCCGTTTCAATTTAGTCCAGTTCTGATAATGGTATCCATGAGAAAACCATATAAGTCTTAAATTTGCATTACGTACGTGCGCGACTAATAAATAAATGAATAACTCAATAACTCAATATCACGCCAACCGATTTCGATGATTATTGTTTTTAGTGTAGGTATACCTACTTATTAATTTGTTGTAATGTGTTTTTTTTTCCGAATTTAAGACGGTTTTTGTTACAGCATGTCTATCTATCATTCTGTCTTCCTATTTATCATTCCGTCTATACTAAAACCTAGAATTATATATTTTTTGTTTTATTCGAATTGAGATTGGTCATTTGAGTTTGGGCCCCAAGGTGGATGACAGCACCCAGCTCGTTGTACCTACGGGCTTCGGTATTATCTCATAGCCATGTATGGATTATAGACTTTACGACCATAGGGAAATTTATTATTTTCTAGCTATTTGGAGTAGACGCGGGTCCGCAATGCGTGCCGCTCCGCGTGTACAAGGTCTGGCTGCCGAACCACCCTCAGTCCAGCGTCTTCCATGTCATCTACAAGGTTTCCGTCAAGTCTGACGTCAAGAAGAGAACGAAAAACAAAACTGTTCGCTAATTATTATATTTTTACTGTATTGAATAGAAAACTACCTAATGGTAATGTCACACGGGATGGATGTAATGTGCTCTGCGTCAACCCTGTCCTGCCGTCTCAATAGCTCCGACTGGGCTCCGGCCCGGTCCGGGGTAGGGCGCCGGTTGTGAGCGGCAGGAGTTTTTAGTGAAGTTCAACTCCCACATACCCCACCTGCCGCGCGGGGCGATTTTCTCAAGTGGAAAAAAATAATTGTAATGTCACGAGAACTTTACTTCTTTTCAAAGACAATACCAGTCCTTAGTTCTTGGTCATTAACAATATAACTGGTCATTATTATCTTTGTGCCAAATCAATTTAAATGATGTGGCTGTTTTGGTGATCTGGATCTTGTGACAACTTGCTGTATCGAGTGAAAAATCGCTACTTAGCCATAGTAGTAGTAGTTGGGTATCTAAAAATAGAAGTCAAGAACTTTATTCCTATTGTCCAAAATAATTTTTTTTTACTATGTTAATATAAAATTTCTTTTGCCTTGTCTCCGATCCTATTTTTTTTATTGCTAAGTTTTGTGGACGATCTTACGGCCCACTTGATGTTAAGCGGTTACCGGAGCCCATAGACATCTACAACGTAAATGCCGCCACCTATCTTGAGATATAAGTTCTAAGGTCTCAGTATAGTTACAATGGCTGCCCCGCCCTTCAAACCGAAACGCATTACCGCTTCACGGCAGAATAAGGCAGGGTGGTGGTACCTACCCGTGCGGAATCACAAGAGGTCCTACCACCAGTATATTACCCGCATTATCTACATTAATAGCTGTGCTCCTTCTACATCTACGTCAAAAGATGTCCGTAACAACTAAACTTGAAATTGTCTTTCGACTATGTCCGATCTTAACACATCTATTTACTGTAATTTGGTACAGAATACACGCAACCGCATCCAATGGCTTACCATGGTAGAGCTGGAGCGTCAGCGCGCGCACGCCATGCTGCGAAGTCCAGAAGTAGTGATCTTCGCGCTCATGAGTATCGGTGAAAAGGCAAACGAATTGGATATTATGGTACCTATATGTTGTTTTAAGCCAATGCTAAAAGGGACCGTTTTAAAATTTAGGGTTATTTTTGAAGTTCCATAGTTTGACGCAACCACGGCGTGGTTCACGATGTTCGTTTAAAATTACCGAGAATATCCAGGCACTTGAAAAACAAAAAACACGTGTGACACTCGGGAACTGCCGCGGTAAAGCTACTGCATAGCATTTTTTATCATCTTATGGAATTATAATTAGACAATAATAATTTAATATTAAAACAATAATAAAATAAGATCACGCTATATTTATAAACATTAACAAATGCAAAACATTAATTATCTCCTTCACACTCATAAGCTAGACCGCGCGAGAGAGAGATGGGCAGACTTTTCATGCGCACAAAGTGCGACGTCACGCCGCGCGCACAAACACTACATAAGCGCAACGTGTGAATGTGTTGAACGCGAGCTACATGGTAGGCGGAGTGGGGTGTTAGGTTTTATTTTCGTTACGGAATTTCTTGATTCCGTCGCCGCGCTCAAAGCCCGCGATAAAAGCTATGAACTAGCTTAAAATACTCGTAATTTGAGAACCACCTTAAGTTTTTAGTAGTGACCAAAATTGCCAAGCTGCTTAAAATGTTCTAGGAAACTGAAAGCGGACACCTGGTGGAAATCTGCGAAGACAACGTGATAGTCGGTACCGATGTGGCCGGTGGCGCTGTGGTACTCACCTCTCCAAATTACCAGCTGCTTCAGGCTGCCAACTATGGGCATGACGGTAACGCTTCCTGTTTAATTTTTTTATTATGAGCGCCAAATGAACTGTTCAAAATTCCATCATGCAATCGATGCATCCGGCAATGATTAGTTTTTGTTATATTCTTCATGTATAACATGTACTACATAATAAGCAGAAATATGTAATTGGGCACTACGAATTATTTATTCGTAGATTGGGCAAATATCTTTTAATAATTTTGTGTTAGAAATAAAATAAAACAATCTATTAGAGGCGGTCTCCTGCTCACAGTGACGGAGTATCGTTGGCTTTAAGAGCAATGTAGGTCCTTGTAAAAATGTAAATAAATAAATATTTACGGTGCAAAAACGGTGGGTATGTAATTGGTTCGTACAGACAGCTTAATTATAGTTATTATTTCAATGCACCAAAGTCAACCTAGTGTTTCTACACAGCAGCGTTGAGTTACTGTTGCCGTTTAGTTCTTAAGTTTGTCTTGCCTTGTCATGACGTACTAAAATCTTAAGATCCGTAGCCCAAATTTGAAAGTTGAATAGATATTAAATTGTATCTGGAACACGAGGGCTTATTCTGAATTTCCTGTGGTATGAAGTTAAGAGGAATCTAGTCAGCCTAGCTCGTTAATCGGCAGATCAGCTGCGCTTGTATCAAGAATTCGTTTTAATGGTGTACCCTGCAATGTTCATGAGCCAGAACGTCTTCACGCAGTTCATGGTCGAATTGGGCTGGCAAAGGTCTCAGTGTATCAGTTTATTTCGGTTCGTATCATTGTTCGATCTTTGTAAGCAAGTTAAGAACTTCGCGCTTTTGACACTTAAATTTTATGACACTTCATTAGGTTGTTTAAACGAATAATCACAAAGAAAACTGTTTTACTGGTAGTAGGACCTCTTGTGAGTCCGCGCGGGTAGGTACCACCACCCTGCCTATTTCTGCCGTAAAGCAGTAATGCGTTTCGGTTTGAAGGGTGGGGCAGCCGTTGTAACTATACTTGAGACCGTAGAACTTATATCTCAAGGTGGGTGGCACATTTACGTTGTAGATGTCTATGGGCTCTTGTATTGAGCGGCTACCAGACCTCCTTTCTTTCGTGTACTATTTATATGTTCTGCTTTGAGTTTGAGACAATCATTCTACCAAAAGAGTAGATACTTTTTTACTGAGACTTTGACCTTGTATCTGAAGATAAATGGTGCCACCATACAACTTGGTGGTTCAACCTAGCATCAGATAGGCACTGAGCTCTTTTAGTCGTCAGCACAATAAAATCATCTTCATCTTAGAAGTTTTTCATAAACAAGATATAATTTTACGAACAACAGACACTGAAAAATTATTTAATATAGTTTAGAAACCCCAAAACTACGATCGAACTATTTATATCTGGCTGCTGTAGTCATGCCAAAATAATAAAATTATGGTTTTGCCATCGGTCCTTGATACATGCGTAAATTTTCTCATTCCTCGAAATTTTGTCTTGAAACGATTAGAAACGTGTTACCCAAGTATTTTTCTACGAAGATAGCTCCTACCTCGACAGTTCAGCTGACGTGACGGGCAGAGGAGGTCTGTCCTTCCAAGAGTTTATGCTCTGGTCTGCGGCCTTGGAACCACACACTACTCACGGCGGTGTACCGGCCGAAATACGTTGCAGATACATTTTCAGGTGTAAAGTCAATATCTTACGGGCTTAGTTTTTAAAGAGCAACTTTATATCATCTTTTAATGGTTGAGCCAACAAATATACGGCTGCTGCAATGATTGCAGATAAAATAAGCTTGAATAAAATCAATGGATTTGCTCAAACCGCGGATCAGTGACTGCGATACGCTTTGAAGCACTTGGTTTCCCAAATATTGACGATCGAATCTTAAGTTGTTATCAAAATTTCATTCTCTTGTAATACGATAATTTAAGTTACAAATAAGAGCAATGTTTGCGTTTTCTTTCTTTTTCGAAGTATAAAAGTGAAAAATCAATCGACCGAATCATCAAATGTATGTTTGGTGATAGTTAGGGCTTAGCACACTGAGTTTCTCACAGGATCTTCTCAGTGGGTTGCATTTCCGATCCGGTGGTTAGTTAATTTCGCATCTAGCACGTGTCCATGAACGCTGTGACATAACCACGTAATGGACAACAAACCCTGAAATTACTGATGGCACCAGCAACTTGTTTACTTTGTTCACGAATCAGTTACGCGCACTGTTTTTAAGGGTAGAACAACCGTCATACAATATCATTGAAACTACGAAGACCAGAATCAAAGTAGAAGCTATATTAATAGTGGGCCATGAGTTAGTCTACTCACCAACACCAATAGAAATAATAATCATTTAAAGAGGTAATTATTCGGTATTTAAATTATTGTTCTTTAACAGATTGATCAACAATGAATTGCTCAATTGATTCAGGTACTTTGACAGCAATCGAGACGGTAAGCTGGAGTACGTTGAGTTCAAGGAGCTGGTGGGGGCGACCCGAGCAGCGCGCCAGCTCCCCGGGGACGCGCTCAGTCTCGCCAGGGACGCCGACCTCTGTCTCAGGTAACACGATTACACTTTTAAGGTGCTGTCACAACAACGAACGTGTAAAAACTACCATTAGTATACTCAAGTCTGTTAAAAACCCGTACGTACAGTGTGCTTAGTGCGAGTATTTTAACGTTCTCGATAGCGATAAAGTTAACTAAAATTTGTATGGAGTTGGAACGTTTGCCTTACGTTTGCCGCTAGAGGTGCTGTCCAGTTGGAACAGTGAGCATACAAAACTTTTACGCTATCGAGAACGTTAAAAAACTCGAACTGAGCACACCGGTGATTATGTATTGTAGTGGAATTGCCCCTACCTAAGCTGATGCCTTGAGAGGCTATTTCAGCGTAGCCTTAACTAGTAAGTGAGCTCACGGGGCTCAAACCGGAGTGATGCTAACACTGACCCTAGCAAGAGCAGTGCTTCGCAGAATCTACCACCGGATCGGAAACGCGACCCACTGAGAAAATCCGGCGAGAATCTCAGTGAGCTGTGTCTATGGGTTAATTCGCTCGTCGAGCTCTTCGTCGCAAGCGACGGGTTCGACGAGGATGGTGACCGGTGCTTGTGGTACCTAAAAGCAGCGTTAATGGATCTGAAGGATCTGTAATGACGTGTTTTGGGCGACGTCGAGTGGAAGTGTATGTACCGTCTTGAACCTGCAATATCGTCATCGAGATGCGACACGATGACTGACTGTGCGTGTGACTCAATGAGTTTAAAGAAAGCGTTTTTCAGGCAGTTAGGAATGCAACCGAATTCCCAGTTGCCGCTTGCTGACTTCCTGCGAGGTGTTGGCGATCTCCTCCTTCGCGGGACCAGCTCCTTACTCCGATCTCCGAGGAGTATAGCGGGATATATAATGGATTTGCAGTAAGTTAAAATAATGTTTTTGCAAATAAATTACTTTTGAGCTTCGATCAACAATAGTAACATTGTTGATCGAAGCTTTTGAGTAAATGTTGAGAAGTTGACCAACACTTAATTCTTAGTAACCAATTTTTCTACATATTTATGTTGTGTTGTATAAATAAATAGTTGTCCAGTCCTAAAAACCGGATCGGGTAACTGCTTGGAAGCGGAAATAGGTAAGATGTTGGTAGCTATCCAACCGGGTTCACAAGCAACGCTACGACCTACCTCGGTATACCAATTATTGCATTATTATCGACCAGAAGTGAGGTAGTTAAAAAAAGGAAATAAATTACACAGAACTGGCCCAATTATATTTCACTGAATTAACCAAAACTTCTAGCAAATTTTTTTTCCTCCTATGCTGATAGCTTTGAGATGCTATGGCAGCTTCGCCCTAACTGTAGGTGAGCTCACGGGGCTCAAATCGGAGTGATGCTAACACTGACTCTAGCAAGAGCAGTGCTTCGCAGAATCTACCACCGGATAGGAAACGCGACCCACTGAGAAGATCCGGCGAGAATCTCAGTGGGCGAAGACCTATGAACGTATATAAACACGTGTTAGTTCGTTCGTAACCTATGCGCCCCACTTAGACGAAAGTCGATACTAATTGTTCTTGTTACCTTAAGTGTAGTTTTTGTCAACGTACGACAGAGGGCGCTTGAGTACTTTCGAGGATTAGCGGTAACAAACATACATTTCATACTTTATAATGATGAACCAATTCGATTTTCAAAATGACCTAATGATAAACAACAGATTTCATGACGCTTAATTATTATTAATATGACGAAGCCGAGCACACTAGCAGGAAAATTGCTTATAATTTTATATTTCTAGTTCTCTATAAAATTCACACACACGTAATTTTTTTTTAATTACTGTATTTTTTTAGCGCAAGAGAAAATGATATAAACCAATCGAATACCCCTTCCGCGTCCAAAGTGCCGGCGACCCCCACCGAAGGTAACCTAAATATTCTATGTAATTCTAGAAACAACACGCCCACTCACTTGTCGGACAATGAAACTTCGTACCGGTGCAAATAAGTTAAAAAATATTATAATATGCGGACCGACTTAGCGTTATCAAGTCAACTTTAAAGAAGTCCGCATGCGTAGAATTCCGTGCAATTCAACCTCCTTTATAGTTCAGTTTTTTCCAAGCAATTTATTTTATTTAAATGTCCAAATAATATACAATTCATAATGCATTGACGTGACGAATTTGTAGCTGAAACTAACTAGCGACACAAAAATAATTAATGCCTACGTTTAAGTCGAAGTAACTATTGTATGGGTATGGCAGCGAATTATCCACCAATGGCCAAGAACTTTAACAAAATATAAATAAAAATTATACAATGACCCAAAAAAATGCAACAAAAGTAGTAACAACTATTATACCCAATAGCAGTCTGAATAGTTTTAAATTTACATATATTTTTTTTAATTGGAACGAAGTTCCTTACGGCAGGCTTGGAGGGGATAGGGATTTTGCTGCGCGACCGAACTGAAAAAAATGTGATAGTAAAACCGTAAGAAAAGATCCGTGGAAAAAAGTGCGTGGAATAAAACCGTTAAATGAGACGTGCGCAGGCGCGACAGTCGTATACACAAGCGAGTCGTGTATAATACCTTTCTCTTTCTCCCTCTTTCTTTTCGTTCTCTCATCCCTTCTCTCTCTATTTTGTAATTATTTCTATTTCTATGTCATTTTATGTTGTCAAACAAAAATAAAGAGACATATTTTGTTATTTTAATTGATAATTTGAATTACGATTTTATTTTTATTTTACGTAATTTATTATTTCCTAAAATACTGAATTTCCTAAATACTTTCCTGTACTTAAATAAAAACTAATCAGCAAAATTTAAGAGAAAAATCAAGAAAACCAACATAAAATTGTGCACGATTTTTTTTTTGCAAAAGTGTCGATTCTACATTAGCCGAAGGAACTTCGTTCCTACCTGGTGTCCCACGACACCACATTTATATTTTTTAATAACAAGATGTCGTTAATCCTTTAAAATACAGTTGCAGTAACAACAGGCTCTAAGTTTATCGACATGGCTCGGCATTCAGCCGCGATTGCACACCGAGCTCGTCCTAACGCCGTCGACCACTGTCTAGCCTCGTACACTGTCGTCCTGCGTCGGAATCAGCCGGTTGAGATTCAACGGCTTAGTGGATTTGATGGTATGGCCTTGTAATCAAAACAGTTTTTATAAAACAATGTACTCAAAAACACTAAACTCAAAAAATGTTCTCCTGCTCCCTTGGATAAACGAAAAGAGTCTCTCACGAAAACGCTGACAGTAGTGCCGGCGATTTATGACACGATAGCACTAAATATATAATTTATATGGTTCAAGCAATGCATTACTATTGGTGACCCGACCCGCGTGATGTTCAGTCTTGGGAGGCGAAGGTTGTATGCATTTCCATCATGTTCCATGTTCACGAAATAAATGACAACTAAAAGTGTTTATAACGTGGTAAATTAATATTGCTTTTTTAATTTATTCCCGTTTCGGTACAGAGTTTAGATTTTTTTTGTTAACACGTGTTTTCGCACATTACCACTTCTCAGTGTTTTTTTGGACAACGTAGGTATTCAACCTATGATAGTAATTTATTTATTATGGTAGTAATTTATTAACTAATACATTATAATTTTTATTATTAATTATTATAAGCAGAGTAGTCTAATATCAGTTTCTCTGCCTATTTGCGCCAGTCAAAAATCGAATTCACTTAGGTACTCAGTAAAAGGAGAAAACCTAGTATACATACAAAGAAATACTCTTCATTTATTATCTATTAATTTATTCGATTATTATAACCCAAACCCAATACTCGAAGAATAGGTGATACCAAAAAAATTTTTCAATATGCTTCGCGTATTCAGTTTATTTGAAAAAAAAAAACGCAAGAGCATAATAATACATCCCATTCGATGGGTAAGGTTCAGTCGGTGCTATTATATATACCTATTCAACTGGAGCAGAAGATGCAGCGAGCTCATCTACCACACGCCTGATCAGCGGCCCGTCTCGCTCCTACGAGATGTTGAATTCTACTTCACTGCCTTCTGAAGCGTTAGCCGCTGTACACTACTTCGCTTCTTCGATCGAGAAACCAGTGCAGGTTCGGATTTATGTATTTTTTTTGTTTAGACACACCAACAGCAATACACACAAAACATTCAAGCTTAAAATTAACAAGTATAAAATTAAGTACTGGTATGTAAGACAGTTACAGGCATGTACAGTAATCTCTTAATAACACTCTAAGACATGTTACAGTAATTTTAGAAACAACGGAAAAGTAGGTTAAATTGAAATGTTAACAACACGCCATAAGAAAAATCAGTGCATCCGCTGCACCATGTCATTTCCTTCCTTAAAAATGTTTTAAACGCTACGAATTGCTCGGTTGTGCCTCTGGTATAAACTATATCTATGTGCCCGAATGAAGTAAACGGCTTCAAGGTAAAGAATGACGAACACCCATGTTGCTAATTTGTTTTAAATTGCCTTGGCCTGCGCAGTAATGGATTTAGACCCAGACCCGTGAGTCCCGGGCCTATTGCGGCACGATTTGGTGGATTGGTGGAGCTCGATGGTGTTTATAAAATAAAATAAATAAAAATGAAAGGGCGGCACGTTTTGATTTGCGGTAAAAATTTTGAAATGCCAAAATTTCAGAGACGAAAAAAGTAAAGACAGTGATTTGTTGGTAGTTTGAAAATGAAGTCAGATTAAGTTATTTTAAATTTTAAATAAAAATATTGGATCAAAATCAATAAAATTTAATCTGACACTAAGGGTGGTGCGATTACCAGGATCCAGGGCGGCATCAAGCCTAAATCCGTCACTGGGCCTACGACCAGAAACATTACCCTCAGACATCACAACATGAACCCCATAAATTAAGATGTCTCAATATCTGTTGCATTATATAACCATTGTCTCACCCTTTAAATCGGAATAGGTACATGATGGCGCTGTGATAAAAATCAGGCTGATGGTACCTACACTTGCGGGCTCACAACGCGCTCTACAAACGATTTATATTAACTATTGTAATCACGAACGTCAGATCATAATGTTATTTGAAGAAAATCAAAACACTAATTATTCTTTTTCATGTAATAAATTTACTTTAGAAACGCAATTCAGTAAGTGGGACTATACAGAAGCCGGCGTGGTCGTGGGTGTCTCCGGCGGAGGAGACGTCGCTGGGTTCCATGTTGCTGAAGCTAGCGGTGGCAGTTTTGCCGATTTGCGCTTCGGAACCAAGGCTGTTAAGGATACAGTCGCCAGTTTATATTTTAGGTTCGCGTTTTACTTGTATTTTTTTGAAGTGAAACTTCTAATGCGACTTCCAACAAGGTTGATTTTTTTTCCTACCTAAACTGATAGCCTTGAGAGGCTGTATCAGCGGAACTTAACTAGTAGGTGAACTCACGGGGCTCAAACCTGACAACGTTGCTAACACGAACCCTAGCAAGAGCCGTGCTTCGCAGAATCTACCACCGGATTGGAAACGCGACCCACTCGAGAAGATCCGGCGAGAAACTCAGTGGGCTGTGTCTGAGGGTTAATTTACTCGTGGAGCCCTTCGTCGCAAGCGACGGGTTCGACGAGAACGATGACCGGTGCTTGAGGTACTTAAAAGCACCTTTAGTGGATCGGGAGGATCCGAAATGACATGTTTGGGGCGACGTCGACTGCTTTCCATTCTGTCAGCATTTCCTATCACAAGAGCAATCTATTTTAAGGATGAAAAATGATAAAAACAGAATACTACACATCGAAAAAGAAGTTTCACTTCATTCACGTTGCACGCACCGTTTTTTTTTTCCATTGGTTTACTAGATTTGCTTTTAAAGATCGGAAATGTGCGGGGATGTCTTCTGTGATGTAGTGACAATTAAAAATCTCGTCTTAAAAAACTTTTAAGCATCGCGCTAATAGCAACATTAAGTTTAGTAGTCTAGATAGTGAAGTATTGGGGGTTAAAATATGAAATTGCCGATTTGTACTGAAAAAATGAAATTCGTTTTTTTTTTCATTTAACATATTTATTTAATTAAAATATCTACCATTATTATCTATACATTGCTGCCATCTAATAGGAAGGTCATTTATGCCTTTGCGATAGAACTCTGGTGATATAGATTGCTGCCTGCTGTAGTTGTATTTAACGTAGTGTTTTATATAATTTTAGTAAAAACGAATAAATATGGGTTAAACTGAGACAGTATACTTGAAACCAATACAATATAAATTAGAACGATATTTAATTAATATTTACAAATCATTATACAACGTGAATTAAATTATGAACATATAGCCATTGTTATTCATTTAGGAGATCTCCACGGAAATCTGACTGCATTATTAGAACTGGAGCGAGTTCTTTGGCCTTCGGAAGCAGGACTATGGCCTAGGGTGCTGATTCTCGGTGACTACGTAGACCGCGGTCAGTTTGGTACCGAGCTGGTGGCGTGGTTGTTCGCCAGTAAACTCCAGCGGCCTGATGCTATCCTGCTTCTACGAGGGAATCACGAAACAAGGGATATACAGAAGATGTTTACATTCTACAAGTTTGTAACAACATATTTTTTTATGAAATACGAATATTTAAAAAAATCTAATAAAAAAAAAACCTTATTTAAAAAAAAAGACATGCCGCTGAGTTTCTTGCCAGTTCCTCTCAGGACGGAGGCTAGTTTTTGTCAATTGGCGGTAGTTCTTTTTGACGTTCAATACTTTCATTTATGTTGAATAAAAAAAATATGATTTGATTTGATTTGTTTGTGTAGATAAATATGTATTAGCGGAACCACATATACATCTGATACCGTTCAGTTTGAGAAATAATTTTAAATACACATAAATTATATCGTTTAAAATAGAACGCATAATTGTGTTGCTGCAGTACGCTAGACAATTGTTATGATTACATATTATGTCTAAGACTAGAGAAAATCGAAGAAAATACAATAGCTATCGGTATAATTTATCAAACATAGATGCATTAGGTACGCATTGACAACAGCAATGCGTCCAAAACTTCAATAGGTACTATTGATAAGAATACCAATATAGGCCAGAATGCATTTTAATAATTTGAAGTCGTCGCGTTGTGGCCTAAAGGATAAGACGTCCCGTGCATTCGTATCTAGCGATGCAACGATGTTCGAATCCCGCAGGCGTTCCCACTTCAATAAAGCGGCACGACACGAGAACCCTCTCATCGTGGCCGCCGGTAACTACATTCCCGATCCTGCGGACAGAATGGAAAGCAGTCGACGTCGCCCAAAACACGTCATCTCGGATCCTCCCGATCCACTAACGGTGCTTCTAGGTACTTCAAGCACCGGTCACCGTTCTCGTCGAACCCGTCGCTTGCGACGANAGCACCGGTCACCGTTCTCGTCGAACCCGTCGCTTGCGACGAAGGGCTCGACGAGTAAATTAACTCTCAGACACGGCCCACTGAGTTTCTCGCCGGATCTTCTCAGTGGGTCGCGTTTCCGATCCGGTGGTAGATTCTGCGAAGCACGGCTCTTGCTAGGGTTCGTGTTAGCAACGTCATCAGGTTTGAGCCCCGTGAGCTCACCTACAAACGTTAGGGCGAAGCCGAAATAGCCTCTCAAGGCTATCAGCATAGGTAGGAAAATAAAAAAAAAACCCGCAGGCGGGTACCAATTTTTCTAATGAAATACGTACATGACAAATGTTCACGATTGACTTTCACGGTGAAGGAATAACATCGTGTAATAAAAATCAAACCCACAAAATTATAATTTGCGTAATACTGGTGGTAGGAACTTCAATAAGTAATAATATTCTAGCGAATGCGTCGCAAAATACGGCGAAGTGGAAGGTGTTAGAATATGGAATGCGATTAACAACGTTTTTGATGTTCTGCCTTTGGCTGCTGTGGTTGATGACAAGGTTTGTGTTCACATTCATACTTGACTTCCACGATGAAAGAACAAATTCGAATAATAAAATCAAATCCGCAAAAAAACCCTGCTTATTCTGCCACGAAGCAGTAACGCGCAGGTTTGAAGTTTCAAGAGTGTGACAACCGTTGTACTGTAAAACTGATACTTAAAACTCATATGTCTCAAGGTGGGTGGCAGCATTTACCTTAACCACTCCGGTAGCCTCTCGTCCGCCTTTCTAACCAATAAAAATATAGGTATTATTTTGTTTAGTACTGAGTAGTGCATGTTACTATTTTTTTAGATGGGTGGACGAACCCACGGTCCATCTGTTGTTAAGTGATTACCGGAGCCCGTTGACATCTACAACGTAAATGTCGCCACCGACCTTGAGATAAGAATTCTAAGTCTCAGTTTTACGGTACAAAGGCTGCCCTGCTCTTCAAACCTAAACGCATTACTGCTTCACAGCAGAAATAGGCAGGGTGGTGGTACCTACTCCGCGCGAACTCACAAGACGTCCTATCACCAGTTACTGTGCGTCGTACGTTGTTTTTATAAAATTTACTGGTGGTAGGACCTCTTGTGAATCCGCGCGGGTAGGTACCACCACCCTGCCTATTTCTGCCGTGAAGCAGTAATGCGTTTCGGTTTGAAGGGCGGGGCAGCCGTTGTAACTATACTGAGACCTTAGAACTGATATCACAAGGTGAGTGGCGCATTTATGTCGTAGATGTCTATGGGCTCCAGTAACCACGTAACACCAGGTGGGCTGTGAGTTCGTCCACCCATCTAAGCAATAAAAAAATATATATATATAATACTTTTATTTCAATAAATTGTTAATTTAATGTTTCAAGCAGGTCTTCTGCTGCCACGGAGGTATTCCTCCTCCATGGGTGTGTCCACTGATCACAGCTATTGAAAAGATACCTACACCGTTGCCGAAGCCGGCTGAACAAAGTTCACTTGCTTGGGAACTTCTTTGGAATGATCCTGTTAGGTTACTGATTACAATTTCATTAAATTTAAATTTACAAAGTAGTTACCTATAGTTTGATTTTTATTCGAAGAATCTTGTCGTTTTAATAAAGTAAGGCTCTATTTCTATTTTGTTCCTTATATTATTATTTTCACATAGAAAGAATGAATTGCCTTTTCATCTAAATTATTAATTAGAAGGAGCCTTTTGTCAAAATACATTATATTTCAACTTCAACAAAACTTTATAAGTAGGCGGTATTAATAACGGTTCTACGGAGCAAGTGCCTCGCGCGCCTTTTTCAAGGCGTAGTATCCTGTGAGAAATTGGGGGAGGTGGAGGACCTCGGTCCTTCTCTTCGGCCCTTCTTCCTCTCAAAAGGCGCCGGAGTCCGACATAATCCGGTCCGTTACCCCCCTCGACCGGGTATCCGTAAATGGATTCCCCAGCGTTAAAAAAAGGCGATATTAATAAATTCTAATTTTTTATGTTTCCAAATTATATATAAGAAACGCATAGGTAAACTCAAGGGTAGCACAGTGAAGAAGTATGTGATCCAAGAATATCATACGTAATCATACATCGTCATACGTCGTAAGTGGCCTACAATTGTAAAGTAAATAATAAAGTTTTCGTTACCACAGACAAGGCAAAATAACGGCCAGCTTAGCGCTAGAGTTGTCAGCCAACGAGGGCTTTGCCGCCAACGCCAAGCGCGGCACGGGACACGTCTTCGATAGTGCTGCGCTCGACCGGTTCCTGGCGGCCAACTTGCTGTCGCACGTCGTCAGGGCGCACGAGATGTACAACCACGGCTTTATGGTATGTCACTAGTTTTTAAATAGTCATTTATTTGGGGAAAATAAACAATAATTTCTGGGCGGATGCTACTGCTTTTTTTTAAAATTTCAGTCCGTCCTACGAGTCTGTACTGCTTGTTTAAATATTTTTATATTAATTTTTTGATGTTGCAATAACCAACCCACCAGTTGCTTGCGCTAATAAGTTGACTAATTTCGGACCAACTTTTATTTTTTATTTTCGGTTTTACAGTACAACGGGCACCCTCCCCTTCAAACCGAAACGCATTACTGGTTCACGGCAGAAATAGACAGGGTAGTGGTACCTACTCGTGCCGACTCACAAGACGTCCTACCACTAGTAAATAACTTCGGCAAACTTTCGGGCTCCCATGCAGATTGCAGGGTCGCGCCGCCCTGTGTGCGTAGTGTGCGGTGCACATAAGCGCCAATACAATAAGGGCGCCGCCACCGAAATTATGTTACACTTACACAACAATACATTCTTTGTAGTGCAATATTGATAAGTACGTAAGTATGTACAATAAGCGCAACATATGCCTTGTAAATAACAAAACATATAATTCATTTATAGTACAAATCTCCCAAGATTTACGTCAAAACAATAAGTCAAAATTAACAAATAATAAAAAAAATACATTGAAACATGGAGATTCGTAAAAATATGAGGCGCATCATGGGTTTCGCACACTACACACACATAGGGCGGCGCGACCCTGCAATGGCTTGGCTTGGCATGACTTGCCGGAGGTCGGGGTGGCCCTGCTCCCATGTCACTGAAAACCAAATATCCCACAGGCCATCTTCAGTTGTAATGTCGAAGATTCAGTTGCCAGTTGCAGTTGTAGTCGTCGTGGCCTAAAGGATAAGACGTCCGGTGCATTCTTATGTACCGATGCAACGGTGTTGGAATCTCGCAGGCCGGTAACATTTTTTCTAATGAAATACGTACTTAATAAATGTTCACGATTGACTTTCGCGGTGAAGGAATAACATCGTGTAATAAAAATCAAACCCACAAAATTATAATTTGCGTACCTAATTATTGGTGGATCTCGAGTCCGCACGGGTAGGGTGCGTTTCGGTTTGAAGGGTGGGGCAGCCGTTGTAACTTTACTCTTAAAACTTATATCTCGAGGTGGGTGGCGCATTTACATTGTAGATGTCTATGGGCTCCAGTAACCACTTAACACCAGGTGGGCTGTGAGCTCGTCCACCCTTCTAAGCAATAAAAAAGAAGTCCATTCATATAATAGTTACTCCGTGCCTACCGGTCTAATCTATGGACTTGAATCTGGATGTCACTTAACTCGCTAAGCCTGAAGTATTCTCATATTTCAATTAAAGTATTACTGTTTCCAGTGTCAAATGCACGGTCGTTTAATATCAGTGTTTTCATCCTCGCATTACTGCGGAGGGAAGAACGACGCTGGTGCGGTACTAATAGACGCCGGAAAACTTAGGATGATCAAGGTCAGCGTTGACTAATCTCGTCCGCGGCTCAGTGTTGCCCGATCAGACTAAAATGTTACCGTTTTATTACGAGCCTATTGTAATCGTGAAAAATAAAAGTCAAGAAACTCTTAAATCGAGAGGGCAAAAATGAAAATGAAAAAGACAAAATGCTACGTCTAAAATCTGTATTTTTTGTACTGAAATGTGTTTTTTATATTCTAATAAAACAACCAAAATAGACATATCATTTCTTTATTTATGTCTTGACTTAAAAAAATTGTTCGATTGTCCACGCCTTCTTACAATCCATTCATCAAAGTTTTTGATTATTTTATATTATAACTTATGTATGTATTTACTAACTTTATATAATACACATTTACTTAAACAACTATGTTTTTAATCGTGACAAGACAAACAGAAATGCATCGTAGGGCCCAACACAAACTTAGGAATGTATTTATTTTATTTTGGAGAAGCTAATTTAATCGTTAATTTTTTACAAAAAGATAATAATTTGGTTATTTTAAAATGTTTCACACCTTTTTAATGGCAAAAGGTCCATTGAAAAGGCACAAACTTTGTAAGATTTCAAGCGCCACACATTCGTAATGCAATTACATTTAAAATTTAATCTTTATGTAGTCAGTGAGGGTCAGATATGCGTGTGGTGAAAAAAATATCTTGAAATTTAATAATTCAATACACCAACGTCCATAGTATATATTTATTTTTGAAACATACTCTGAAGTGAAACAATGGGACAAGTGTGGTTTCGGTTCAAAGCACATCTCAGCGATTAGCCATCCTTACAAATGAACGACCATCAGATTAAATCGAGAGCTCGCTTTAGGCACCTCGTTACATTTCCGTTTGTCTTCTCATTCCGATAATTATATTTAAATTGTGGAAATGAAATAAGAATTATACACTATTTATTTCAAAAGAATACAAAATAAGTACTTTGTATTAGAAACTCGATGCGACTCGGAATTATTACGTACTAATTGAATACAAATAAACCTTATGACATTAATCAGTTACGACTTGTTTCTTTGTAAATAAATAAACGAAAACTAGTACATTCACACTCAGCACGGCTCTGCTTTAATCATATATTAATAATATAATTATATTGATATTTATCGAAGCAAAACTTCTTAATGCATTTTCAACGATGGGAAACCGACACAGGACACCGCGCCAAGCCATCGCCTCCTTGGCTATTCCCTTCATTCCCTCCCCTCATATGAATCGGTTAAGGACACAGAGGGACATGACCCGCCGGTCCGCTGTACAACATTGAGTAACGTTAATATACAATTTAAATATAGGAAACTAATTTTTTTTTCTTGTTGGGTGGATGAGCTCGCACTCCGCACGGTACAAAGGGCGGCGTTCCCTCGCAACTACAATACTCAGAGAGCTGGGATTTCGACTCGACTGACAATAAATATCACAAATAGTATTGGATTTCGTTGAATAGATCCTTCTATAAGATATGTAAGTTTCAGTCCGAGCTCCCTTGGCCCGGGGCGGCTCACGTGCGACTTCAGACGGAGCATAGGGGATCAGCTTCTCATTAATTGTTTGGGGTAGTATGTTCGAATGTAACAGTTTAACCACGCACAACGTCTTCGGTTGTAATTACGAGCGTAAGCGTCACAGGTTTTAAAGGGACTGAAATAAACACGCGATAAAACCGTACGGACTTCAAATACAGCAGAGAACTAGTCGCAGTCGAGCGACGTGCGCTGGGCCCGGCCGTGTGGAACGAGTAGCCACATATGACGTAATGCGCAGATTTGTAAGCATCATGTCAGAAAATTTTAGAATTCCATATTTAGTGATTTCACATAAAAACCACTAGTATTCAGTATAGAAATATGAAATGGATATATTACACTGCTAGTGATCGTGAGACGAGATCTTTTGATGTCGTTTACTTTTGTGTAAATGAAGTTGTAAGCTTCAGGGAAGGTTCATACTGCGTACACAGCTCGGCAGAGGGCGCGTCGTGCCGCACGTGCGACCCGGGGTGTGCCGGGGTGTGCCGGGGTGGAGGAGGGTTCACAGCAGCAGGGTGCCGGTGAGGATCTCGAGCGCGGCCTTCCTGCGCAGGCGCGACATGTCGGCCTGCGAGAAGCAGTAGGGCGCGTTGCGGGCGCGGAACTCCGCGAACGTGCACGCGAACATGCCGCAGTCGCTGCCGTTCATCTGCTGCGGGATGTCCTGCAACACAACGATGTCCTCCATCATTACAATACATTTCAAAGTGCAATGACTTCCCGTGACATTGACGGTAGTCACAATTCCTCACTTGCGGCGTCATGGCCTAAAGGATAAGACGTCCGGTGCGTATGTAGCGATGCACCGGTGTTCGAATCCCGCAGGCGGGTACCAATTTTTCTAATGAAATACTTACTTATCAATTATTCACGATTGACTTCCACGGTGAAGGAATAACCTCGTGTAATAAAAATCAATCCCGCAAAATTATAATTTGCGTAATTACTGGTGGTAGGACCTCTTGTCCACGCGGGTAGGTACCACCGCCCTGTCTATTTCCGCCGTGAAGCAGTAATACGTTTCGGTTTGAAGGGTGGGGCAGCCGTTGTAACTATACTGAGACCTTAGAACTTATATCTCAGTAAATTGCGCATTTACGTTGTAGATGTCTATGGGCTCCAATAACTACTGAACACCAGGTGGGCTGTGAGCTCGTCGATCTAAAAAAAAATCGCCTCTGAATAATAACACAATATAAATAATAATGCAGACTAAGGCACTCTTGGATGCATCGTCTCTATATAAAGACGATTTATTACTAAAGCGCGTTAGAACAGATTTGGCTTGAGTAGCGAAAACACACGTCGTTTTGTACTATTTCTTTTATAAAATAAACTCAGTGCCAGTCACAGTGTCCTTTTTTTAAAAAGAGCTCCTGGATCCACCCCATAACAGTACCCCACATTAGCAAGTGAGATGTCTGATCGAGTGGACATGGCTGGGTGCAGTGTGCATACCTTAGAGAGGCATTCAGTCTTCCATCCACTGTCATCAAAGGGCTGTCCCTTTTTATCTTTATGTTCATCACGCAAGTACTGCAGCAATGCGTCCAGACAGGCCTGGTTCCGTCCTCCCATGGAGTCCAGGTAGGATACCTTCTTGGCTCCAAAGTCCACAATGCTGAGACACCAGTGGACACCAAGATGTACCGGAACTATCATAAGATCGTTCGAGAATATGTCCACCTGGAATAAAATAAGTTCAAATGTTTGAATTAGAAGTTCCGTTAGAGAATATGTTTTGTTTGCAACAAATGCGCCCAGCACTCGTCGCTGCTCGGCAGCGGGAACTGTCTCCTCAGTACACTGGGGCACTGGACACTTTACAATACTACGTTTCTATTCTATTCTAGGATTGATGGGGAAAAAAAGTTACTTAATTAATTAATAATACAATTATCTATTTTCATCAGTTCTAAATTTTTTTTACAGTGGTTCTCTCACCACCATCTGGCCTGTTTGCTACAATGTTATTGGTATTCATGTCTCCGGTTTGAGGGGATTGTAACTACAATGGCAATACTGAACTATTATTTTTGTTAGCAATACTGAACTATTATTGTTGTCAATAGTAACAATAAAATAATAATCTCACCTTTCTAGTCCACCGCCGCAATCCAGCTTGTCCGCTCTGCATCAGTTTAGGATAGAAAAACGTATTTGCGGCGTACACTTTTGGCAAGTCTTTGTTATCCTGGCTTCGCTGCATTAACAGGTTCATATAGAAGTTTATCACCTCATCATTCAGCCAATTTAGACCAGAGAGCGTTTGGAGATCCCGTCTGGAAATTATATCAATAGTTTTTACCATGTTATCACTACACACAACATCAATTAAACAAAAATATAACTGTGAAATATTATAATTATTAAAGTGACTATTGTAGGCAGCGGCTTGGCTTTGCCTCTGGCATTACTGACGTCCATGAGCGACAGTAACCACTTACCATTAGGTCGACCGTATGCTCGTCTGCCTACTCGGGTCATAAAAAAAAAGTAACTTGTACTGTGAAAAGGATCAACTCAATTAAATAAACAATATAGGAACATACAAACAAAATTACCATGTTTATTAAAATGATACCAAGTTTTTATTTACTAAAGCATAAATACTAGTTCAGTTAATTCATATATTATGAAAGCTCAAAACTATAGCCAAGGAAGTCGGATGGGCAAGAACAGCACACTGCATACCCTTCATCACACATCATGGGTAATCTTTAAGTGGGTAGACAACCACTAAATACAAGACGGTGCCGTGTGAATTGCCTCCATGCATTGAAGGTCATGGATGTACATGCCTGTGTAGCATCACAAAACCAACAATAATGAACAAACTCTTGGAATAAACCCTCTCATTAATATAACCTGAGCCAATATGACATGTCCTTAGGATAGTATTTGTTGTAATCTCAAGATAGGCTGTTCATTNAAGTGGGTAGACAACCACTAAATACAAGACGGTGCCGTGTGAATTGCCTCCATGCATTGAAGGTCATGGATGTACATGCCTGTGTAGCATCACAAAACCAACAATAATGAACAAACTCTTGGAATAAACCCTCTCATTAATATAACCTGAGCCAATATGACATGTCCTTAGGATAGTATTTGTTGTAATCTCAAGATAGGCTGTTCATTTTGTTGATCTCAAGATAGGCTGTTGGCTTTTATGCTGGTTCACTCTATGTCACAGGGCAACAGTGACCATTTTGCTTGCCATTAGCTTATATGGCAACAAAAGGTAATCACAGATTAATGTCTGAGATAGCTATTATTACATCTCAAATGAGATGTTAGTCTCGAAGACATTGGTAACGTAAACAGAGGTATCTTTGGAGTCTGATAATTGTCTGAAACCGCAAATGTTAAGTATCACTTAAATGAGTTTGTTCAAATCACACCATCACCAGATATATGGATGGCTTTTTTGATATATGAAGCTATGAGCACAATTTGTAGTGGCTATTCTTACCTTGATATCCTTAAATTAAACTTCTCAACGAGTATTTGTCCTGCTGGTCCCGGCCCAAGTGCTTTGTTCACCATCTGCTCTTGCTGAGCTGTGAGAGTTGGTAGCTCCACTACTGGCTGGGGCTCCTCAAATAAACTCTCTGGTATGCTCAATTCATATTTCAATTTGTTCTCTAAATGAGCAAATTTCTGTTCCCTTATTACTTTAGTTATTATCTCTGACTCTCTATGAGCTTCTCTTAACTTCTCCTTGGTGTTCAAATCTCTATTCTTGTATTTTAGATTGATTTTTGATAACCAATCATCTGCTATCACAGCCTTTTCTTTGAATGAATCCAGCAGGGTATTAATTGGTTCTATTTTATAAGAAGACGAAGTTGATGACTCAGATGGAACAACCTCTATCTCAGAATCAGATGAGTTTATCGAAGCAACAGTGATAGGGTCATATTCTTTTGTCGCATCACTTTCTTTTTCAGCTGCTAAGCCTTTCTCTACAAACTTAATTTCGTTTAAAGAATTCTTCTGTGTTCGTTTTGTTAACCGGAATGCTTCTGACTCTTCTGCTAAGTTTACAATGTCTATCGGTTTACTTGTCTTCCTAGGTTGAACATTCTCTGAAACTTTTCTTATTAATTCTTGATAATTCCTTTTCTCATCTAGATTAAAAACTTCTGATAAAGTCGTTCTTGCTCCATTTAAGCCTAATAACCTATTTTTAGAGTAGGAGAGATTCGTGGATTTGCCTGTGTGCATCCATTTTGGAATTTGAGTCACCTTCTTGTATGGTTTACTGATGCCGGTTAAGTTTTTGTATTTGTTAAATGTTTTAGGGGATAGGGAAGATCTGTCTGTTTTTTTCAGTCTATAGAAAACAGGATCTATTGCAGTGCTGTCGGGAACGTCTTGATTACGAATGATGCATGGTTTTACTGATGGTGGTCTTGAAATTTTCTTGACAAATATGACATCATCTCCTTCATTTTGATTGTCTTCATCGTCATCATCGAGGATGTAAACTCTAGGAGCCTTTTTCGTCACTCTTTCTGGATTCGCTTCTACTAGAGTAACCTGTAACATATTAAGCTAGTGAGTTCAAGTTTTGGAACACAATGAATATTTCAAAAAAAAAACAAAGTGTCATAACAGTATCAGTTGTGCCTCTTGGTTAAGTCACAGTATTATGTATGTAGAATATAGTGTGGGCTACTCCCACATATACACTTACACACAACTGGTACGCATTTACATACACCACACATTTACATTTCATTCCGACACAAATTTCAGTCATGTCGATTTGCACCAATCGACTGCATTGGACACGCGCACCGAAAACGAGGTTGTTGTGACGTCCGGTCGGTACGTCGTCGCCCGAGCGCAGTGGCCGCTGCACAGCCTCGACATTAGTCAGAGCCTACCCACGTCACATAATGTCTGCTTACACTTTTATACAATAACTTTGTGTGTACCCACCTTCGACTGTGCTTGTTTCTGACAAAATATCCCTTCGCTTCAATATACCAGAGACTAATTGTGTGTTTCTTAATAAGTATTGTGTGAAAAATAAAAAAGTGTAAAAACTTTTATCGGACTACCTGAAACTTTGCACCAACACATGCAAAGTATAGTTACAACGGCTGCCCCACCCTTCAAACCGAAACGCATTACTGCTTCACGGCAGAAATAGGCAGGGTGGTGGTACCCGCCCGCGCGGACTCACAAGAGGTCCTACCACCAGTAATTACGCAAATTATAATTTTGCGGGTTTCATTTTTATTACACAATGTTATTCCTTCACCGTGGAAGTCAATCGTGAACATTTGTTGAGTACGTATTTCATTAGAGAAATTTTGGCCCTTTGTTTTTGTATTAAGCAACAACACAGAAGTGCAAATTCCAACTAATAGGTTTTGGTGAGTGACTTCCACAATCAGAAAATAGTATTTCATAGGAAAAATCAAATCTACAACATTTACATAAGTATTCAGTTGAAGTCTTTTTTGTTGTTGGTCATTTTAGGAACCATATTACAACTAGGTAATACTGTTCTGTTACCATTATTTGCACTTGAATGTGGGAAAATTGAACTAAATTATACAGAATATGGGTCCCTAATGGAATCATAACTATACTTGAGACCATAGAACTTATTCTCAAGGTGGGTGGCGCATTTACGTTGTGGATGTCTATGGGCTCCAGTAACCACTTAACACCAGGTGGGCTGTGAGTTCGTCCACCCATCTAAGCAATAAAAAAAAAACTCCTAAAATATCAGTTGGAAATGAAGTCAAATCCTGTTTTTATGAGACAATTATTAAAGCCCATTACCACCACTAAGATAAGTTAAAAGACCAATTAACCACAGAATATATTAAAAAAAAACAAGTATGTCAATTTGTTCAGGACAATGTATTCATTAAGTAAATAAAACACACATATAAGACAATAGCAATTGACCTAAACCCTAAATACCAATTATCTTTAAAGAGATATAGATACTTTGACCAAGGATGTGTCCCAAGCCTCATAGTTAATTACATGGATAAGCTCACTCCCAGCCTGGATTGTATTAAGTAGTTACTTGAACCTACATGCATTGCAACATAGAGGTTCCAGACATAAAGTTAGTCTCATTTGTATTAATCTTACATTGGTTGTCTCAAATGAGCAGGATGGTTGTTCAGATGAACAATAATTAAATGTTACAATGTATACTGACCTCATCATCATCATCATCATCATCAGCGCAATTAATGACTGGGCGCACTGGTGTGTGTATCCTTGGTTTCCGTGTTGGAGTCCCTGATCCATTCTCCAATACTGGTATGTATTTAATTGGTACATTTCGGATCCTGCTCCCCTGATTCACAGGTTCAATTGGAGTTGATGTACTCGGGTGACCAGCCTCCAATTGTATTGGCACATAACAAACGGTTTTACTATTTTTTCCATTTTTCTCCCAAGAAACTGAATCTGTTTTTTAATATGGTAATTAAAACAAATTTGCAATAATTTAACAAATAATTATAGTAAATTTTATAGTTACATCAAAACTACAATTAGATTGGAATGGGGAGAGGTTATTGTAGAAACATGTAAGCTCTAGTATTTCACCTTTTGAAGTCATAATATCTGGGAAGTTTGTTCTTTTTAACTGTTTAACGCGCTTTAATGCTGGTAATTCTTCATCTGAAGAGTATTCATCGTCGGCCCTGCAAAACCAACAAAAAATTGTAGATGTCTCACTAGGTGATCCCTTGATAGCAGTAAAAAGTTTTCTCTTACTTCCAAAATTTACAGGCCACTTTTAGGGGTACTTTGAACATATTTTATATTAGTTAATGACACTCTAAGCTGTTCTATACCAACTTTGCCGCCATAACTAGTGTTGTAAACATGTAAAGTCATTACCTGTCGCGTTTGAAACTTGTCCTAAGGGTTGGATTTTCATCAACCCAACCAAGAAGACCGCGTATATAAGTCAACACGGACTTCATCTTTATTAGTTTATGTTTCCATCACCTGTTTCGGTTGTTGTTTTTAATATATTCACTAAAAACTAAATTGAATCTCAAAAAGACAACTGAGCAGCAAAAATACAGAGTATTTAATGTTAAACATTATTTTTTGGTGTTTAATCTATGGTCACTCTGTAGTCTGTTCCAACATTGTGTTGGGACTTTTTGGCGGGAACGCGAGGAGTGAAGTTGTGTTTTGTTTTNTTTCCATCACCTGTTTCGGTTGTTGTTTTTAATATATTCACTAAAAACTAAATTGAATCTCAAAAAGACAACTGAGCAGCAAAAATACAGAGTATTTAATGTTAAACATTATTTTTTGGTGTTTAATCTATGGTCACTCTGTAGTCTGTTCCAACATTGTGTTGGGACTTTTTGGCGGGAACGCGAGGAGTGAAGTTGTGTTTTGTTTTATTTTGTCTATTTAGTGTTTCTTCAGGTTTAAATGTGTAATTAATGTGGTTTATTATCTGTTTAATATCTGTGAAAGTGCACAAATGTTGGAAAACGAAACAAAGCCGTTGGACGCAACTTCTCGGGATCCTCCAAAAAGTCCACTGAAAAAATCTCAGTAAATGACCACCATTTTACTGAGATTACATTTCATCCCATATCATCTAATCATATCATTTAATTTCATCCCAGTTGATAAATGTCTCAAATTAATCATCTTCATTTCATCTCATTTCATTTCACTCATTTTTCATAAAAATAACAATATAAATTAAAATAAGACATGACTTAAAAGTCTTAGTTACCAGGTCATAAAATCCCTATAAAAAATATCGCATAGATAATACGATAATAACCTGCAAAAACAGCAAAAAACATTTTAAGGTTTAGAAACCGCGAATCCAAATTCCGTAAATACTTGGAAAATTTAAGGCTTAATTCGCATAGCATTGCTACTTGTCTTCTAGTGTATAAAAATTTGATTGGTAAATTTTTTTTAGCATTATTTGATAAGAAAATTTGGTAATAAAATAGAATCTAGTTATCAACGTTCGAGGTTCATTCCAATTCTTTGTTAAGTTCAATCTTGCTAGTTAAATAAATAGGTGATGCTTGGAGACGAAAATGTTGCAACCAGTAATGCATGTTTTGAAAGCTAAGAAAATTGTGCTAGCCAGTGCATCACCGCGACGCGCTGAACTTATTGAAAACATCGTGAGTATTAAGCTTAAATAAATTGTTAACCTGTTTTCTAAATAAAACGTAACCCAAAGCACTATAAAAAAAAAAAAAACTTCAAATTTGCAAATACATAATTGCAATAATGCTATCAGCAAATATTGATTGCTTTTACAACAAACTATATGAACCTGGGCTGCTTGTAAATTATAAATTTTGTTCTTTAAGCAACGACGTTAGTATGATGACTGTTTCCAGAGATTTACTCCTCACATTTGTAATTTGTAACTAAGTTTTAACGGTAGGCAGCGGCTTGGCTCTGACCCTGGCATTGCGACGGTAACAACTCACCATTAGGTGGGCTGTATGCTCGTCTGCCTACAAGAGCAATAAAAAAAATTAGTTGGTTTAATTTTTCCCCCCTTAATTGCCTTTCAAACCAGATGGTTTATTAGTTAGGTAGGCAGATTTAATGGATTTTAATGATTGTGCAATTTTAATCAGTTCTAATTGCAGTTTGTGATTTTAGGGCATGAAGGATATTAGTTTTTGCCTATTACATTTGAATTGTCGATTCTTGAATGGTTTAGAGCTTTTTAAAGTCATGTCTAATGTCCGCCCTATTTTATAATAGTTGGGGCTCTTATAAATCAAGATAATAAAAAAATAAATCCAAAGTCCAAAATAATAAAATATAAATTCCAGAGAAAATTGTAAAAGTAGTTTTAATTATGTCTACGACTCCAAAACTGAACAAAATATTAAAATGCTAAAATTACATTTTAGGGACTCAAAGTTAGTTTATGCCCATCATTATTTGAAGAAAACTTAGTCCCGAATGAGTTCAGCAAATTTTCAGATTTTGTTGAGGAGACAGCCCTTCACAAAGTTCTGGAGGTAGAAAAGCGTTTGACAGGAATGGGCTCTGCTCCAGATATTATTATTGGTGCTGATACAATGGTGACACTGGATGGCGAAATGTTTGGAAAACCTACTTCAGAAGCTGAAGCATTTGTAATGCTGTCAAGGTATGATTTACAAATATTTTGTTAAATTATTTTATTTCTGATGCCAGATTAAATAAAGACCAACTCCTGCTCAAAGTCAAATAGATGTATCAAATGGGCGAAAATGAATATTTCTTTGTTTATTGACAATAACTCTTGTGTCTTCTGATTGAATTCAACGAATTTATTGAAAATGCAAGGAACAATGCTGCACATGTCCTCAAAAACTGTATAGTATTCAAAACATTGAAAGTGGTATAATGACAATAATAAACATGTAGGATTGGTAAGAACAGAACGTATGAAATGAGTGGAATGGAGTGGTAATAAGATGTGAGTGAGAGAAAACGGTAAGAAAGGGAAAAGAGAAAATCAAGATGGAGAGTATTTTGAAAGAGAACAATAAAAGTGCAACAGTGGAATAGTTTTATTTTATGCACCCTGATCCCAATTCTACAAACATTATTAAAAGTTTGTTTCATACCATATTATGTTCAATATAAAATTACTTGATGTGTCAATAAGATATTCATAGTTAAAGCAAGCTCTTATAAGTGAAGGTTAAAAAGTTTAAATACAGTTTAATTTTTATTCAGATTATCAGGACGCTCACATACTGTGTACACAGGAGTGGTTGTGAAGACGGGAGAAGAGATTGTAAAATTCACTGAGTCTACTGATGTTCAGTTTGGTGAATTAGATGAACAACAAATCAGAGGGTACATTGATACGGGAGAGCCTATGTACGTATTCATGTATTAAAGTTTATCACTAGTTCAATACTATTGTTTATGAAATGACTGACCACAAGTATGAAATGTAAAATCCACTGCAAGACATTACAATATGGTACTTTGGTAGAATATGGTAACGTTAGTTTGTTTTTTTGAAATTGCGTAAAAATACTGTAGTCTCTTTAAGAGGCAGTCATCAGGTATAAATGAGGCCACATCCAACTTCTCAATAATGTTATTCAATACAGAAAGTGCACAGTCTAAAGATTGAGAGCATTGTAAATACAGGTAGTGTCATTAACAAGAGACAGTAACATCGTGTTTTTTTTATCTTTTTTATTGCTTAGATGGTTGGACGAGCTCACAGCCCACCTGGTGTTAAGTGGTTACTGGAGCCCATAGACATCTACGACGTAAATGCGCCACCCACCTTGAGATATAAGTTCTAAGGTCTCAGTATAGTTACAACGGCCCTGCCCTTCAAACCGAAACGCATTACTGCTTCACGACAGAAATAGGCAGGGCGGTGGTACCTACCCGCGCGGACTCTCAAGAGGTCCTACCACCAGTAATTACGCAAATTATAATTTTGCGGGTTTGATTTTTATTACACGATGTTATTCCTTCACCGTGGAAGTCAATCGTGAACATTGGTTGAGTACGTATTTCATCAGAAAAATTGGTACCCGCCTGAGATTCGAACACCGGTGCGTCGTTCAACACGAATGCACCGGACGTCTTATCCTTTAGGCCACGACGACTTGTGTGATTTGGTAAGACTTTTTTATAACATATTTTTTTATATTCAGGGATAAAGCTGGAGGTTATGGCATCCAAGGCGTTGGAGGAACCTTTGTGGAGCGAGTTGAAGGAGATTATTTCACTGTAGTTGGCCTACCATTATACAGACTATGCTCTGTACTTTACAAAATGCATAAACATTTAATATAAATACCATAATAGTACAAATAGCCTCTATGGTTCGTTAAATCATAGAAAACAACGTAAGAACAAATAAAATATAGTATCACTATTTATTTTAAAATTACATTCCTTTGGTTGTTTTATGATAATTGAGATATCTATTATATTTATGTTTTCTTTAATACTATGTTGGGAGCTGTATTATCCTAACTAGGACACGAAAAAAAAAGGTATGGTCGAAACAAGATCCATGGGCTATTTTTTTTAATTAAATGTAAAATATCGAACGTAAGCCTTCTTAAAGTTTATTAGAACATTTTAAGATAGGCTAAACAGTCGAATAACTAATTAATGCCGACGCATGGATTCACTAGTCAATAGCACGAGGTGATATAGATATATTAAAAAAAAACTTGAAGTTATAATTTTTTTCTTTTAATTATTCCATGTAACCTTTTTTCGGTATTTGTCGAACACGCCAGCCCCGCCCTAAATAAATAAAATTTAGTCACGCTACAATAACTAGCTTTTGCAAAATGACCATGTCAGAGGATGCAAGATAATATGATGAGGTACCGGTTTGAATCCACAAGGTACCTCTACTACTTTTACTATTATCATTCGTTTAAAAGTAAATAATTTGTTAATATTAATCCATCCAATGACACTAATTAGCTCAGTGGTGATACACAGTGGTGGCAAGCACGGGAAGTTAATAAGACATTGTTGCAATTGAACCTTGCAGTTCATGTCTCGTAGGCGGCGGCAGTCGTTATACTTGAAGTCTAAGGGATCACCGCATAGTGCCATGCTAGACTAGTCTAAGGTAGAGAGTGGTCACGAACCTGAAAATATAAAAAAAATATTGAACAAATTGAACTCTTACTAGCATCGATCTACCTATATTTTTTAGAAAAATTAACAGCTCACCATAATAAATGACACATAGCTTAAAATACTTAGTACATGATGTCATAATGTAATAGGTATTAGATATAGTTAAGACTTGGGAGTGATGAATCAATAAAATCTGTAGTAGGTATTAATTAGACACAATCACAAGACCTACGCATGACCTATACAAATACTATCACATTGGAGTCCCTGCAACACAGCGGTGTCTGTGTGGGTTTCTTTCGATCAAGATATTGCTATATTGTGTTGTTTAGGCGCTTCGATATTCTCTGGTCTATGGTTTGAGTCGAGCTACGGTAGGTATATTGCTGACGCGCTGATGGTGTAAGTGTATAAGTACCAAATTGTGGGGAAAATGGCACACTCTTCCACTGAGCGGATAACTTTTGCTACGTCGATCGACGGCTCAAACGTTCGAAGCTTTTATATCCGCAAGGTTATCTTGTTAATCTCGTTTGGGTGTTATTACGGGATTCCTTATATTCTATGATATAACTATTACTACTGCGCTGACGCTGTGACGCTGAAGTGGGTCTTGGCCCCCGACAATAAATGCTGCTATTCATCCCGACGCTGCGCAACACGTAGCCAGACCTTCATTTGGAGCTCGCGTAGATCCCCTTCCATAGCGTCAGACTAGTGGTACTTGGGCCTCCTTACGGGGCGGCGTCTCCCCAATGCATCCGCGTACTCCCGTTTCACAGCCAGATCCTACTCCATGGGCACTACACACCCGAGTTACCTGAGCCTCCGCGCCTTCATTTCCTCCAGAATATTTGGATTTTGGTTTTTTTTCTATTCTATGATAATTACCAAATTTTATCCCATTAACTCCTACCTACCATATGCTCTGCAGAGTGAAAATTTTCATACGCCTCGGTCGGATTTGATAGGTCTTGCGCACAGGACTGAGTTATTAGAGTATCTCTCCTTTCAGTTTGCCCGCGTAGGTTTGCTCGTAACACCGTTTTTTTTAATTGCTTAGGTGGATGGACGTGCTCATGGCCCATCTGATGTTAAGTGGTTACTGGCATAGACATCTACAACGTAAATGCCGTCGCTAATCTTGAGATATGAGGTTTAAGGTGTCAGTATAGTTACAACGGCTGCCCCACCCTGCAAACCGGGACACATTACTGCATCACGGCAGAAATAAGCTGGGTGGTGGTAGCTACCTGTGCGGACTCACAAGAGGTCCTACCACCAGTTATTACGCAAATTATAATTTTGCGGGTTTTGATTTTTATTATACGATGTCATTACTTCACCGTGGAAGACAATCGTACATATTTATTAAGTCCGTATTTCATTAGAAAAATAGGTACCTGCTAGCAAGATTCGACCACCGTTGCATCGCTAGATACGAATGCACCAGACGTCTTAACCATTAAGCCACGACGACTTCAGTTCTTCGAGGCAACGTCCGCCCCTTCTCGCAATGTGTCGGAAGTGTTCGAGAACTTACACAGCTCACCGGCGAAGCGGTGGACACTCGCTATAACCAACTAATTGAACTTTAATCGTAAGCACGTACCTACGCATTAACTGCCTTTTGATCTTTTAACACGAAAACTGGTTGTTTTTATTTGTTCGAAGCAATATATGAGTCGACTATTATCAAAGCCGACAATGTGACTTTTGGACAATTATTGGTAAATCCGAAAAACGAATTATTGACTTTGTATTCCATTGGCAGTCACAAAACTCTTCTGAACGACATCTTAGATAAATAACAGGTTAAGTATTAACCTTTATTTAATGCAGGTTTTGAACCGTATTCTTTGAAGGAAACGATTATATTCAAATCAATCTGTATTGACATATCAATAGCATTTTTTTGTCCAAATGCACAGATTGCCACCTTTGATAATAGACGACTCATATAAATCCTCGTGACTACTTTAAGTGTGTTTTCTTACTATCAAATTTTAGTGCATCGGACAGCCCTATCACATTACAAATAATTAGTGGGCGTGATAATCTACTGATGAAATTGATTGGATGACGTCGATATTACTCAATAATGTTTACTTACACCTTCGGTTCATTTAAGTGGTTTCAGGTTTTGATTTAAAGAGGACAGTTAATGTTACAAGGTGTTTTTATTTGTTAGTGCAACAAGGTGGGTGGATGACGTCACGGCCCGCCTGGTGTTAAGCGGCTGGCGAGGCCCATAGGCATTACAGTGTGAATGAAAAAAAGGGTAATTTACCTACAAATGTGGTTGGTATGCGGTTTGTTCTCAATCAAGCTTGCATACGTTCTGTCTTGCAAGCATGACCTATGCAAGTGTAGTGTTCCCTCATGTGACCCGCATAAGCTCCCTCCAGGTCATCCAATTCCGTTTCTGCAGTATAGTTGTCGAAGCACCGTGGAATGTGAGCAATGTCGACCTTCAGGACGATCTGAATTTAGAACCGATACGTTAATATTTAAAGGTAGCGTCAGGACGCTACTTCGACAAAACGGCGCAACACGATAACCCTCTTAACTTGGCCGCTGCTAATTATTTAACTGACCCAGGCGACTTGGCCACGAAAAACCGTCGTCGACCGAAATATGTCTTGTGGGATCCCCGGATTCTTTCTCGGTGCTTTTTGGCTGTTCAAACATTGGTCACCGTCCTCGACGAACTGGTCGATTATGCCAAAGAGTTCGACGAGCCACCTAACCCATAGGCCTAGCCCACTGAGTTTCTCGCCGGATCTTCTCAGTGGGTCGCGTTTCCGATCCGGTGGTAGATTCTGCGAAGCACTGCTCTTGCTAGGAGTAGTAGGTATTAGCAAATTCTCTCAGGTTGAGCCCGTGAGCTCACTTACCCATCCGCGCGTAGTTGGAATAGCCCCCTAGCCTACAAGCGAACAGGCATGGAACAAGTGTGGTGTCAAGTCTGCAGTTGTTTCGTTACAGTTCATCGGTTAATATAGAACGACAAGTAAATATAGACCTAATGTTGTTCGGAACTTGTTGAGTGTTGATGTTGACTTGAAAATGTCGTTAGTGTGATTCATGTTTTTGTTGGATATCTTTTTCGCTACGTATAAAGGTATCAGGGTTTCTGTTCCCATCTAATAATATTTAGATATATACATATGAAATGTCACGAAAGATTCCTAACCTAATTCGTGGCTTTAAAAATTCAGCTTTCCGTGGTACATTCTTTAAACTGTAACAATCTGATTGCGGTCATAATGCATGGGAGCGCGGAAGACATGATTACGTACTAGCTAGGGATGTTTTCTTAATGTTGTCGATTAATCTACTAACAACAGCGCTTGTTACTCTGAATTATTTATTGACTTTGAATTAATAGGTCGAGTTAAAGATACTAGGTGTTGCCTAAGTAACAGTAAACTGTGAAGCATGACTACTAGACATCAAGATTCGATTCCTAATCGTGTTTAACAATATATTATTATAGTAATGGACCTAAACTATTATTTTTAGGATAACTGCGTGAAATTGATATAATTTACGAAGAGGGAAAATATAATGCACAATGATAGGAATTCCAGAAAAAGGGCTACAGCCGTGATTGGGCTCATGTTATTAGTAACAACATATTAAGCCGTTTTAATATTTTGTTATGATAATGTGTTATTGGTGCACCTATATTTTATGTTCAAACACTAATTTTCTCGAAATTACATTATCGATAAATATATCACGTGTTTGTTCGTCTCTATGGCCGACCTCATTATTTTTTTGCCACTTCGAGATGGCACACGGATGTTTTTATGACAACCTATTGTTGCGTGGGAGTGGAACCGCCACCTGTCGCTTCGCACCAATATCTGGGTTGTTTATTTTCAATTTTGTGTAGTTTTGTTGCTAAATTATTTAAAACTACTGTTAGGCACTTATTCTTTTAATAATTTTTTATGAAAAATTTAATGTATTTTTGCTATCAAAAACTTTATAGTTTTGCTTACACTAGGTTCTTATATTAATATTTTATTGACATCTCAATACGATAACCTTCTTGATGCCAATGATTGCTTGAAATTAGCACTGAATTGTTTTGTAATTGAATAGATAGATGTTTTTTTTTAAATCCCGTGTAATGAACTCCTTACATCTTAACACTTTATGTCTTTATCTCGGCTGGCGACAGTCATCCGTGACCACGAAAACTAAAGTATTTGAAACTTCGGAAATAATGTATCACCAATAAAAAAACGCTAGATTAAACCATCGAAATAGCTCTAATTAGACTCAATGCTTTTTAAAATGGATAAAAAATTTAATAATAACAGTAACTGCGGCGCTGATTCCATCCTACTTCCGAAATAAAATTGTCAATAAGACAATAATCGCAGCAAAAAGCAATGGGAAGTTACAAAAAACACTCTGGTGTGGGAACTCAGGACAGATGCGTGGATATAGCCGGATCTCCGGCATGTGTTGCAAGCCCGATGCTGTATTATCTGTGGAACAATGCAAGTTAAGAATGGCAAAATTAAATACAAAAAATCTATATGAGCAAAGCGTATTTGTACTTCT